GCTCCTTCCCGGGGTGATTCCCCTGGGATCCCCATCCAGGGTCCCTCGGGGTCCCTGGGGGTGATTCCCCTGGGATCCCCATCCAGGGTCTCTGGGGGTCCTGGGGGTGATTCCCCTGGGATCCCCATCCAGGGTCTCTGGGGGTCCCTGGGGGTGATTCCCCCCGGGATCCCCATCCAGGGTCTCTGGCGGTCCCGGGGGTGATTCCCCTGCCTGGCTCCGCGGTGGAGCCCAGGGGGATGGATGAGTGCCAAGGGACCCATTCCCTCCATCTGCTCCGAGCTAATGGAGCATCCAGGGTTTGTGGAGAGGAGCTGGGATTGTCTGATGGAGCCTTTGGGAATCGGAGAGATTTTCCAAGTGATTCTGATTTATCTCAGCCGGAGGATTTCACTGCAACTCCTTTGTGTTCCGGGGGAAGGGATGTCAGCTCTTGGCACTGGCATTTTCTTTGGGAAGTTGTTCCTTCTCCCCTTCCCCATGCCCAGACAAGGGTCAGTCCAAGCTGTTAGACTCTCCTGCTTTTCCTGGCACAGCAATAACCCAGAATTCCAGCTGCAGGGAATAAGGGGTGTTGTGGGGCTTGGACAGCAGTTTGGAGCAGCTTTTTTGCTGCTCTGCTGCTCCCTCCAGGTGTTACCTGAGCTTGGAGTTGGAATTACACAACAGAAGAACATTTGAGGCTTTTCTGCCTTTCTCCCATATTCATCAACACCAAATAATTTCCACGATCAGCCAGTGAGCAGCAGTTAATTGGGGATTTTAATAAGTCTGTGGTGCATCCATGCTTGGCACTGCCTCTCCTCCCCTTCTCCCACACCTGAGAGATGGGAGCTGTCAAATCTCAACAGGGGAACCAGCTCAGCCCTTGGAAGTTCAGTTGAAGGAAGAATTCCTGGAGTCCCTAAGCTTGGAGATCTCTCCAGAGCCTCATTGGAAGGCTTGGATGAGGAAATGGGTGGGGGAAAGGTGGAGGAGCTGGGAATGGTTTTCCTTCCAGCATCTCCAGCCGAGGGCAGCTCCAGATTGTCCTCGGTGAGTTTCTTCCAGCCTGGAGAGAGGAGATGCTGGGCTGCTGCCTGGAGAAGGAGCCTGTGCCAGAGGGGACCAGCCCCTCCTGCCCCCAGGCTGTCTGCAGGGGTTTTGGAGCTAAACTGGGACTAAAACTGGTCCTAAACCCCCTCAGAGGGGCTGCATGGGCTCCGAGGCTGTGCCAGGGGGAGTTCGGGCAGCCCCAGAGCCCAGAGCACTCTGAACTCCAGGGCTTAGGAGAGGTTAAAGCCAGGCCTAAGTGAGAGGAGGAGAAAGGCTCTGGAGAGCTCCATGGGTGTGGATTTGGGAGCTGAGGGAGTGCAGGAGCAGGGTTTGGAGCCCAGAGTCAACAGAGCCTTGGTCTGTTTGTACACCAAAGCTGAGCTCACGGCTAATGCAAACAGTTTTCATTAAGGAATAATCAAAAATAAAAAGCCATTTCACATGCTGATAAGGAGCCAGTCGGTTTTTTCACTTCAGCAGCAGTTTAAGCCACGCTCAAAGCCATTTATCTTTTCTCCAGTGCTGGCTGCAGAGGATATGAAAAATGCAGCAGGCTGCACATATGTAATTAAACTTTTGGCAGAATCTTTGCCCCGCAGCTTTACTAAGAAATTCAATAATGATAAATCGAGTGGAATATCTAAAGGACTTTTTGTGAACAAGATTTAAAATCATGTCTGTGGCACGGAGAGTTATTTGCCACCTAATTGTCTTGGCACGGCTGTGGGAGCAGCCTGTCTGTGGTGTCAGCTCTTCTTTACAGCCCAGCCCTTGTTCTGCTCTTATCTCCTCTCCAATTTGCCATTGAGGCTTTCCTGACTGCCAGCCAAGCCCGTGCTTATCCCTAATGACTGTTTTGTTCCCCCAGCCCCGCGTTTCCAGCTGGGAATGCTCCTGGCTGTCCCGTCCCTCCCGAGCTGGCAGTGGTGGCATCGCTGCTCTGTAATTATCCTTTCCTTTTTATCCTCTGTTCCAGCAGCACTTGGAAGTCGAGCTCATCCCTTGAGCCGGCTCTGTGTGTGACACTCCTCTGAAAACGATGCCGGGATTGTCTCCCTGCTTTTGGTGCTGCTGCCTTTATCCCTGGCTCATCCAGGGATCGTTTAGAGGAGAGGTGATTTTGTGTTCAAACCGTCCCTCCAAGCCCCTCCTCAGTGCTTCCCCTGGAAAAGCTGCACCAATTCTTTTTCATTCCCACAGGTTTTCCCCATTTTCCTCACCCCTGTGGCATCCCCCCCTATCTTTTGTCACCACTGGCCTTGGAGGAGCTTCAGATCTCCTTGGAAAAGGCAATTTTTTATTATTTTTTCCCCCAACAGGACCAAGCAGACTAATTAAAAATAATATGTAAAATATAAAACAATCATTAACGAGGTGTCTGATAGAAGTGAGCTCCTGAGGAGGTGGGAGTCAAGTGACAGAGCTGGGCTGGGCTTTTGCTTTTGTTGGTTGGCTTCAAACTGAAAGGAAGGAGGATTGGATGGGATATTGGGAAGGAATTCCTGGCTGGGAGGGTGTGGAGGCCCTAGAAAAGAATTCCCAGGGAAGCTGTGGCTGCCCCTGGATCCCTGGAAATGTCCAAGGCCAGGCTGGAGCAGCCTGGGACAGTGGGAGGTGTCCCTGTGGTACTGGATGGCTTTGAGGTCCCTTCCCACCCATACCATTCCATAATTATGGGCACTTCCATCTCTGCTTAAACCTCTGGGATTTAATGCTTTTATTAATTTATTTTTAAACTAATTTAATTAATGTGCAAGGAGAGTTTTTCCAGCTGAAGGCACCGTGTCCTTTTGGAATGAAAGGAGCAGCAGGTGACTGTGGATAGTGGGAATGCCAGGAGGAAAGAAAGAGAGGAATTATGGAGAGCAAGAACTGAGCTGCTCATCCTGTCCCTGTGGCAGGGGGGACACTGGGTGAGCTTTAAGGTCCCTTCCCCCCAAACCATTCCATGATTCTGTGGAAATCTGCCCTGGCTGCTGTGGTGTTTTATGGAACACTTGGAGCTTTCTGGGGTTATGTCACTTGTAGGGAACTTCTTGTCTGCCCAGCATCCCTTTATCCCTCCCTGGGCAGCCTTGGGTGCCCCAGGGGGGTTCCTGCCCCTCTGCATCCCCACTCCACCTGCTGTCCGTGGCAGCTGCAGCTCCCCAGGGCTTTGGTGACCCCACAGCCATGCTCTGTGGGTCAGCCTGAGCACGGCAGCTCGGGATGGGGCTGTTTGTGGGGACAGGGGACACGTGCCAAGGAATTAAATGAAGCCAGAGCTGTGCCAGGAGCAGGGAATTTGATCCCGAGGTGGCACAGCCTTGGCTGCCCCTCTGCCAAGGCTCCCTGTGCCAGCATTCCCACAGAGCCTTGGCCAGGCTGCTCCCTGGGATCTGTTTGTCCTTGTCATGCTTCAAACAAAATATTTATCCTTGTCCCCGTGGGCTGGAGCAGAGCTGAGGCTCTGCCACCAAATGTCACAGCCGGGGCTGGCGCTTGGGGACAGCCGGCTCCGTGAGGCCGGTGACAAGGACAATATTTGCCTGGGCAGCATCTTGCTGTGTTTGCAGAGTGATGGTGACAGTGGCTCTGTGCTGGGGCCGGCCAGGGGTGCTGCTGTCACCTGTGACACCAGGGAATGCAGCTGCTGCTGCCCAGGGGGAGGTGTGGCTCTCACCTGCTTTGTGGCACCAAAAATCCAGGGGATGTGGCCTCAGCTGTGCCCAGGGAGGCTCAGGCTGGAATTTCCTCCTGGGAAAGGTGGGCAGGTGATGGAAGGGGCTGCTCAGGGAGGTGTCACCACCCTGGGAGTGGCCGAGGAATGACTCAGTGCTCTGGGGACCAGGTGGGGATTGATCACGGTTGGACTCGATGATCCTGGAGGTCTTTTCCAGGCTGGATGATTCTGTGAGAATTCCAAGCTGGATCTGTGAAAACACCTTCAGTCTTGCTTGTGTTCCCTGAGTTGCTGTTTTGGGAAGCCTGCAGGTGTCTGGTTTTGTGTCACAGCTGGCATGATGAGCAGTGTTGGTGACACCTCTGCCTTCCCAAGGTGACATCCCTGGATTTGCAGCAGCCACGTGGTGCTCAGGTCCTTCACTGGCTCTGGAATCACACACTGGGATGTGTGATGTGCCAGGGCAGCACTGGCATCCCACCAGAATAATTTCAGACAGCTCCCTGCACTGCCCAGACAAAAAACCTTGGAGCTGGGGGCTCAAGGAGCAGGAGGGAGAATTTGATAATTCCAGAGAGGGAGAATTTTGGTGTCTGAGTGTCAACGGTGTCACTGGAAGGCGTGGCTGGGGGAGGCTGAAGAAGCTGAGCTCCTCCTTCCTTGCCCTGGTCGTGCTGAAGGTGCTGGGTGGGCTTTGCCTGGATCCTTCCACCCCTCCCAGCCTGGATTTGGGCTCAGGTTTTTGGGGTTTGGTTCCAAAGAACTGATTGGAAGAGAGCTGAGAGCACCAGTCCTGCTGGCAGCAGAGGTTTGGGAGAGCCTGGTGTTACCCAGGGATCCAAAGGACAAATGTTTCTTCCTTCATCAGCAAAGGCAATGGAACTGCAGCCCTGCCAGGTTTGGGATGGGGGCAAGGTCTCATGTGAGGCTCAGCAGCACTGCCCCCATCATCCTCATCACCCTCATCCTCCTCATCAGCCCCAGACTTGGCCCAGCCAGGCTGGAACTCTGCTGGGTGGGACCAGGAGCAGATCCCTGGAGGAGGAGCAGGAGGAGGCAGAATCTTGGGGTCTCCCTGAGCTCTGCAGTGTGGGGAACCCCCTGCTCTCGTTGGTTTTATTCCTTTTCTTTGCTTTTTCCTTCTGGGAAGGGGGGCAGGAGCTGCCCAGGTGTGCCCACCATGACTGACCCTGGTGTTTTCTGTCCCCTCCTCAGCTCACCCTGGTGTTTCCTGCCCCCTCCTCAGCTGACCCAGGTGTTTTCTGTCCCCTCCTCAGCTGACCCTGGTGTTTTCTGTCCCCAGACAAGGCTGAGAATGGGGAGCCCTACCAGAGGAGGAGAGGAGCAGGGCCCCCTGTGCCTGAGGGCCCCCCAGCATTCCTGGCACCCCAGGATGGAGCCCCCCTGGCCAGGAGCAGCAGCTGGAGGAGGATTTTGCTGATGATCCTGGCTATCACCATCCACAACATCCCAGGTGAGCCCATCCCTGCCCCCAGGCAGCTCATCCCGTGCAGATCCCAGCTCCCCTGCCATCCCTGTCCCCTGGCAGATGGCACTCGCTGAGTGGGCGCCTTTGGCCAGGATCCCGTGCCAGATTTGGTGGGGCTGAGCCACGTGAGGCCTTGGCAGCAGCAGAACCCGTGGGGAGGGGGCTGGGGGGAGCCTGGAGCAGCTGCAGCCTGCCTGGTGCCAGCCCAGCGTGGGTGGGAACTGTGACTCCCAAGGGTGGGGGGGAGAGGTGACAAACCCTGCTCCCTTCAGCCTCTCTGGGAGGAGAATCTGCATTTGGGTTCATTTCCTCAGGCACAGGTGGATTGGGAAGGTGACAAACCCTGCTCCCTTCAGCCTCTCTGTGTGATCAGTCTGCAGGAGAGGCTGCACTTGGGGTTTATTTCTCAGGCAAGGGTGCACTGGGAAAGGTGACAAACCCTGCTCCCTTCAGCCTCTCTGTGGGATCAGACTGCAGGAGAGGCTGCCATTGGGGTTTATTTCCTGAGGCAAGGGTGGATGGGGAGAGGTGACAAACCCTGCTCCTTTTACCCTCTCTCTCTGTGATCAGTCTCTGCAGGAGAAGAGTTGAGGTTTATTTCCTCAGGCAAAGGTGGATTGGGAAAGGTGACAAACCCTGCTCCCCTTTAGCCTGTGTGATCAGTCTCTGCAGGAGAAGCTGCACTTGGGGTTTATTTCCTCAGGCAAAGATGGATGAGGAAAGGTGACAAACCCTGCTCCTTTTACCCTCTCTGTGTGTGATCAGTCTGCAGGAGAATCTGGAGCTGGGGTTTATTTCCTCAGGTTGGGAAAAGTGACAAACCTGGCTGCCTTTAGCCTCTCTGTGTGATCAGTCTCTGCAGGAGAAGCTGCAGGAGAGGCTGCACTTGGGGTTTATTTCCTTAGGCACAGGTGGATTGGGAAGGGTGACAAACCCTGCTCCCTTCAGCCTCTCTGTGTGATCAGACTCTGCAGGAGAAGCTGCACTTGGCGTTTATTTCCTCAGGCAAGGCATGGATTTGGATAATGGGTGGGAAATTGTGGAGCTCTGCAGGTCCTGGAGGGCTGAGTCCTGCCAGGCTGGGCTTTGTGGGGCTGACAGAGGAGCTCAAAGGATGAGGAGATCAGTTTGGGATGTTCAGCTGCTTTGCAATTCTTGGGGATGTTGGGAGTAAAATAAGGCAGCTTTTTCCAGGGCTTTTCTCCTGGTTTCTTCTCCCTCCATCCTCCTCCTCTCCTTCCCTCACTTTTCCTTTCTCCCTTCTCTGCTCTGGGCCTGGCTCAGGCTGGGTGGGTGCAGGGAAAAGCTTCTGGACCTGTAAATTTGGGAAGGAACCATGAAGGTTTTGGGAAGAGCCACGTTTCATTGGTACTGGCAGTGTGCAGCTGCTGGGCTCGGGGCTCCCTTGGTCCCTCACGTGTCATTTTGTGCCTGGTGACTTTGAGAGTGACTTTAACCAGTGCCAGGACACCCATCCTCAATCCCACCAGGGATGTCCTGTGAGTAATTCCCTGCCAGTGACAGAATCCAAGGGAACACACACAGAGCTCCTGGCTGTTCCCTCCTCCAGCCCTTCCAGCCTCCTGCTGCTCCTGGACTGGGAATTTCCTACTTCCAGCTGGCTGTGGGCACCTTTGGGTGCTCCTGGTGCCCCCTGGCTTATCCTGATAAGGAGCTGGGAGTTAATGATTTGCTGCTCTTCTTGCATCACCAGCACGAGCTGTTCCTGGGCATTAACCTGCTCCAGTTTGTCAGCAGCAGCAAAACATTTCTCCCTCCTCATGCTTCTTTTTTTAATTAATTCCAGGGGGATAATTTGGGTGCTGTAGTTCAGCTCCAGGTGGTGCTGGGAGAGGAAGGTGAGGAGGGAGCTTTAAATGAGCCACACACTCCAAGAAAAAAGGAGAAATGTCTGCACTGAGTGAAGTGGAATTGGATTTAATCCCTCAAAGGAGGTGTCAGGAGTGAAGAGGCAGGTGGCACCTCCCTGAGGAGAAAGTTCTGCAGAGGGGTGACCAAAGTGTCACCCGTGGCAGGAGCTTGGTGCTGACATGGCCCTGAGACACTGAGCTGCTCCTCCAGGAGCACAAAGCCACCCCTCAGTGGTGACAGAGGCTTTCAAACTCTCCCTTGCATCTTCAAGGCCACAACACCAAAGCTTCACCCCCAGGGAGGGTGGGAATGGGGCTCAGGCCCTGCTGGGCTCAGCTCAGTGCTGGCCCTGGCCCTGCTGAGCTCCAGCCCCCAAATCCCCTCCTGCTCTCCCCCAGTGCCTTTCCAGCAGTGCTGGTGACACTGGGGCCGCTCAGCAAAGCCAAAGCCCTGCCCCACACCCTCCTCTCCCTGGGGGTTTGTCCAAAGTCACCTCCAGGTCCCAAATCAGAGGCTGGAGCTGAGCCCTGGTGCTGCAGAGCCCTCCTCACAGGGCACAGAGAAATAATTCAGGCTGGGGATAAATAATTCAGGCTGTGATGCAATCAGGTGAGCAGCAGTTTGGGGCTCTGAATTCCTTCTGCTCTCCCAGAGGAAGCAGAAGCAGTGCCTGCTGCAGGCAGGGTTTGGAAAACCAGGAATCTCTGCCTCAGTCAGCAGCCCTGCCAGAGGAAAGGCTGGCACGGGTGTGAATGAAGTGAAATTTAATTGAAATTAGCACGGGGAGCACTCCTGGTCCTGGGGAGGGTGGATGGTGCTGAGCTGGGAGGTGCTGGGGGTGCTCCAGCCCTGAAAACATCATTCCCTGCTCCTCAGGAAGTCCTGGAATGGTTTGGGTGGGAAAGGACCTCAGAGCTCATCCAGTGCCACCCCTGCCATGGGCAGGGACACCTCCCACTGTCCCTGGGTGCCCTGGACACCTCCAGGGATGGAGCAGCCACAGCTGCTCTGGGAAATCCCTCCCTGGGCCTCCCCAGCCTCACAGGGAACAATTGATTCCTAACATTTCATGGAAATCTTCCCTCTTTCCCTTTCCAACCATTCCCCCTTGTCCTATCACGAGCTGCCTGTGTAAAAAGCCACTTTCCATCTTTTTTTACAAGCTCTTCTAAGGAAAACCAGCTTTTATGAGTGTTTCAGAAGTGCTGAAAGGGCTCCATGGGCTCTCTCCAGAGCCTGCTCTTCTCCAGCTCCCTCTGGAGCAGCTCCTGGCTCTGGTGCTCCCTCTGCCTCCCCGGGAGCTCTCTGCACTCCCACCGAGGTCATTCCCGAGGGTTTCCTGTCCTTCCTGTGCTCCACATCCCTGGGAGGGATCCCCGCTCACCCTGCTGGGGCTCTGAGCTGCCCCTGCCAGGCTGGAGCTGCTCTGAACCCTCCCTCCCCAAACTCTGCCTCAGTTTCCCCTGCCTGCTGTGCCAAGCTCCATCCCTGTTCTCCTCCCGTGCTGCTGGGGGATGAGCTCCCCTTTTATTGCCAGTAGGGAATTGTTTTGGGCACTTGGAGCCTCTTTTGGGGCTGGGCTGGCTGGGCCTGGCAGTGCCTGTGTCTCTGTTTGCAGCTCCTTGTGCAGGGGAGGGGATGGAACCCCCAGCCCAGGCTGCCACAGTCCCTGAGTGTTTGGAGGAAAGGTTGGATCATTTCTTCCAAAGCTGGGAATGCCAATGGAAAGGATAAATTGATCATGACAGGAGATGCCAAACTGCAGACTCTTGTTGCTAATTAATATTCATATATGCCAGCTTTAGCAGAACATTAATTATGTATTTAATCAAGCCCTGTTTATTCTGGTTTAGCTTTGTACCTTGGGTGGCTGTTAGGCTGAAGACTTCAGATTAATTAAAATGTTACTGCTGTATCACAAATAACAATTAGAGAGGTGTGAGCTCAACAGCCTTCCCTTTGTGCTGGGGAGGGGAGGGCAGGGGAGGGACCCGGGGCTGGACCCTGGGGGGCTCCTGGGGGCTCTGCCCTGCTCCCAGCTCTGCTGCCTGGCTTCAGGCTGCTGCAGGAGAGGCCCAAGACCTCCTGCCCATCCTGGTGCCACCTCCAGGTGTGACCCCGGGGCAGGGGGACAGAGGGGAGGCTGCCCCAGGGCTGGAAATGTCACCCTGATTTCAGCCTGGGCCCTGAGCTCTGTGGGAGCATCTCTGGGGACAGCCTGGGAGGGACAGCTGGACCTGGCTGCTGGGTTTTTTTTATGGTTTCCCCCAGTTTTAGGCAGTTCAGTGTCCCTGCTGTGTCACCTGCCTGGAGCAGCGCTCTGGGCTGGGGAAGGTCAGAGGAAAATTCCATTGGACCCGTCTGTGACGCTGATTTTAGCTGGTGCTGGAAATGCTCACTGGTGCATTTTGGCTTGCCAGGAGGCAGGAACAGAGGGGGAAAATGCTGTGAAATAAGGGAAGTGGGAATCTAGTGGAAAAGTGTGAAAATAGTTAAATAAGGGAAACAGGATCCTAGTGAAAAAGAGGGAAAATGGGAAAATAGTGACATAAGGGAAGCAGGATCCTAGTGAAAAAGAGGGAAAATGGGAAAAGACTGACACAAAGGAAGCAGGATCTGAGTGAAAAAGAGGGAAAATGGGAAAAGAGTGACACAAAGGAAGCAGCATCTGAGTGAAAAAGAGGGAAAACGGGAAAATAATGATGCAAAGGAAGTAGGATCCGAGTGAAAAAGAGGGAAAATAGGAAAATAAAATCAGGTAGGCAGAAGCATGGTGAAAAAGAGGGAAAACAGTTAAACCAGGGCTGCTGAACATTCCACAGGAGGAACATTCCACACCCCTCCAGCTTCCAGGAGCTTCCATGGCAAGCCCAGAGTGAGGGACACAGAGCTGGGCTGGGCTGTGCACCTTCTCCTCAGACAGGTGAGGATGCAGGTGAGGGATGCAGGTGAGGATGCAGGTGTTGGTGTTGTCCAAAACTGCAGGAATCTTCCCACCAGTGAGGAGGGAGCTCCTCAGAGGGGTTTGTACCTGATCCATGGGGTTATCTGATCCATGGGGTTTTTACCTGATCTGTGGGGCTTGACACCTCCCAGGTGAGCTCTCTCAGCAC